AGGTTGCAGGTTTGATCCCCAGTCAGGGCACATACAAAAATCAACCAATCAGTGTATGAATAAGTGGAACAACAAATCGATGTTTCTCTCTCTCTCAAATCAATCAATAAGTAAAAGTTTTATTATAAGAGAGGCACCCTGCACCCCCCTACCCCCAGCCACATTTGCTCCCTCTTGCTCTGGTCCTTGCCACACCCTATTTCTCCTGTCAGCAGCTCTGCCCTGGCACTGCAGCCTGCTGTCGGTAAGGATGCTCATGGAGACGGCACATCAGCAAAAGACAGAACCAGAGGCACCTGCGCAGGCAGGTGACAGGATGACATGGGCCGAAGAGGAGTCTTTGCAAAGCCGATCAGAATGATTTCATTCACTCAGATATGTATATAGCTCTGTGTGTGTGTGTGTGTGTGTGTGTGTGTGTGTGTGTATTTTAATCCTCACCTGAGGATATTTTTTCCATTGCTTTCCAGAGAGAGTGGGAGACAGGAAGAGAGAGACAGAGAGAAACATCCATGACATCCATGTGACAGAGACACATCGATTGGTTGCCTCCTGCACACACCCTGACCAGGACAGTGGATCGAGCCTGCAGGGCCGGAATCAATCCCAGGACCCTTCAGTCTGAGGGCCAACGCTCTAACCACTGAGCCAAACCAGCCAGAGCTGTATCTCCCTGTAAGAAGCAGGCGTACTTATGTATGAGCCTCCACTCCTCTCATCACTGGTGTTTCCACCTCAGCACTAGTGACACTGAGCAGAGATCAGTCTTTACTGGGGCATACTGTACACAGTGGGATGATGAGCAGAATCCCTGGTTTCCACCCACCAGATGCCAGCAGCACCTCTCCCATTTGTGACAACCAAAACTGTATCTGGATACTGCTCACTGTCCCCGGAGGAAACAACGGCCCTACTGAGAGCCAATGTGCTGGAGAAAGGAGCTCGCAGGCATCCCTGAAACCCACACTGCCCTCAAGCTGAGAGGTCCCAGAAGCAGCAGGATTTTCACATCTTTGCCAAGCCCCGCAGTCATCACCCTCAGGAATGCTATCCGAAATGCCTCAGTCTCTCTTTGGGGAGGGCCACAAACAGCCCAAAACTGCTGAGTACCAGGGGCAGTCCTTATGGAAACCCGTCCCCACAAAAGCAATCATGAAAATACACAAACACGCCCTGGCCGGTGTTGCTCAGTGGTTAGAGCCCCAGCCCTTGAACTAAACGATCACAGGTTCCATTCCTGGTCAAGGGAGGTTACCTGGGTTGCAGGTTCAATCCCTGGGTCCTGGTCGGGGCAGCTGCAGGAGGCAGCCAATCGATGTGTCTCTCTCTCTCAGTGATATTTCTCCCAACCCCCTGACCCACTCTCTCTAAAAATCAATGGAAAAAATATCGTCAGTGAGTATTAAACAGCAACAAAATACATGAACACACATGCCCCCTCGCCCTTTTAAGTCTAAGAGACACCAGCAGAACCACAAAGAGCAAACAGAGCCTGGGCGGCAAGCACTCACTTGTCCTCCGTGGTCCTGGGAGAGGGGATCTTGGGCAGCAGCTTCCTGCGCTGCTGAGCCTCCTCCAGCAAGTGCTCGTCCTTGGGGAAGATGCCCTCCATCAGGTCCATGGTGGTCCTCATCTTCACGCTGGGATCCAGGATGTCCGCCAGGGACCTGTCCTTGCCCACAATTTCCCTCGCCAGCTCCTCTGACTTCAGGTCCTCAGCCGTCCTCTCCCGGGCCTTCACGTAGCTGAGAGCAGGTGGGGAAGCTGGGCCATCGGGGGTGCTTGGGGGACGGGGGATGGAAGGAGGCACGGCCCGGGGCTCAGGCTCAGTGCCCGGGCGGTTGTACAGACAGAAGCGGGAGTAGGACTGCTCCGAGGTGCTCAGTGTCTTGATCTGGTCTCTCTCCAGCCCACTGGGCAGAGCGGGCAGCTCGGCGGTGCGGACCAGGCCCTGGCGGCTCTCCCTCTCGGGCTGGCTCTCCGCGTGCACGATCTTGATGGGCACCATCTTCACTGTGGTATTGTCGATCACCCGCTCGATCCTGCAAAGAGGAGAGCCGTGAGCTGAGAGGCAAGGCACGCCCAGGCCCAACTCCCACCTGCGACGAGAGACGGGCTGGTGTCGCCCTGTACCTGCATTCCCCACCCAGCACTCAGGCCACCCTTCACACGGCTGTCATACCAGGGAGGTGAGGGCCTGGCTGCAAACTCAGGACACCTGCTTCTCTGTTATCTGAACTGACTCACTAAGCACACACTTTTCCTTAAAAAAAAAAAGCTCCTTGGTACAAGAGGTTGGACAGGCACGGGAACACCCACAGAAAAGAGAGAGAAAATGGATAAAAACAACCAGGTGAACAGAACGGGGCTGCATCCCAGGCACCCCAAATGCCAGCTGCTGCCCTTGGCCGCACCTCATTGGGGACCCTGCAGAGGGGGGCCACCGGGACAAAATGTGTTCCAAGTATTTTCACAGGACGTATTGGAGAAACAGCCACCTACTGGTGCCCAGGAAGGAATAAAAAAAAAAATCCAAAGTCCCAATCTGAACTCTGAACTCATTTCTAACTCAGTGGCTTTAACTTCACCTCTGCAATGTGACCCTAACAAAGCGAGCTTTACGGGGCACAAGGGATGCTGTGTGCTCCAGATTAAATGCTGTTCCACCTTTAACCGGTGGCTAGGAGAGCAGAAGGCTCTCTCCCCATTCACAGGGTACAGTGTGCAGGCTGAAATGAAATCAGTGGACATTCTGTTCTCCTTCAGTGGAACAAGGAAGAGCAAGTATGTTTAATCCAAGTGTTCGTACACGGTCCCCACAACGCCGCCTCATGAGCAGATTTTAAAAGGCTAACTATGCATGCCTGGCTGGTGTGGCTCAGTGGTTGGGCATCGCCCCGTGCACCAGGATGTCGCTGGTTCGATTCCTGGTCAGGGCACATGCCCAGGTTGCGGGCTTGATTTCCAGTCGGGGGAAAGCAGGAGGCAGCCAATTGATATTTCTCATTGATGTTTCTATCTCTCTCTAAAATCAATAAAAACTTATTTTAAAAAATAAATAAGAGGCTAACTATGTAGAAAACAGCACTTAGACGGGCTAAACTTTTGAGGGAAAATTCTGGCATCTTATCCAAGCAGCGACAAACGAGAACCTCTCTACATTCTGTTCGTTCCACACTTGCCAACCATGACCACCGGTTACTGACTTAAGTCAGCCAGTATTTTCCCACGTTTGTGCAGAAATGTGGTTTCCAATGAAGGGAGAAGCATTAGGAAAAGAAATAAAGGACAAGTTGACATAACTTTCCAAAACAGCGTCCCTCCCTGGTCATTTTTAAGCATTGAAACTGTGCAGACTTCCCAAAGGAGTTAAATAAACTTTTACTTCAAAATGAGGAGAAAGCACAGCGGATTAGACCTCACTGCGGGCAGACCTCATCAATTCCTAATCAAAAGGCCCCCCCCAGGGGGGGGCAGCTGGTGTGGCTCAGCTGGTTGAGCATCCTCTCATGCACTGAAAGTTGGATGGCTCCATTCCGGGTCAGCGCACACGCCTGGGTGGCAGGCTTGATTGCCAGTGGGGGATGTGCAGGAGGCAGCAGACCCAGGCTCGCTCTCATCAACATTTCCATCCCCCTCTCTCTCTCCCTAAAATCTACAAAAACCCATGTAATATACAAAAGGCCCTGGTGCCCCTACGGTCTCAGGTGCTCCCAGAGTGCAGCTCCCTGCAGGTAAGTCACCCGCTGCCACCATCAGAGGGCGACTGAGAGGCTGTTTAAGCGACACCTGCACTGTGAGCGACCCCGCGCACGAAGCTGTGGCTGCCACGTCGCCCTCGGAAACACAGGATGGCATCGGGCAAGCCCGCTGCCTGCTGAGTTATTTTCAAGCTAAAAGAAAAACAGCGTCAAGAGCTGCGAGGGCCGCTGCCAGATGAAGACTGCCCGCTTCTTCCGGTTCTCAGTTCCTCCCAGGCACTCAGGCAGGAGGGGCGCAAGCTCGCGGTCGCAGCTCTCGGCCGGCCAGGCCCCCCGCCCACATCTAGGGGCGACTCCACGGGCGGGCGCCACACACCCGCTGCCGGAGATGCTGACCCCGCACCAGGGAATGCGGCCAGCGGGGCCCGGCGTCCTCACACGGTGTGCGCGCGCCCACCCTCCCCCCGTGAAAAGATCTCACCGAAAGAGAGCACGGCAACGCCGGCTAGTGTGAGAAACGCCACCTGGCCGCGCCGCCTCGTGCTCGGGCGAGAACGCAGCCCTGGTCCGTACCTGCCTGCGCCTGTTGCACGTAAGCGTTTGGAGCTTGGACAAGGGGACCGGGGACGGTCTACCACCTCGTCACATCTCTGTGGGGCGGGGCCGGGCGGGGCGGGGCGGCTCCCCAACAAGTTAGAAATCCACCGGAGCTCGGCTTCCCTCCACGCCATCCCCCAGGACCGACTCTCAGTCAACGTCGGGAGTGGAACAAGGCACCAGTCATGCGCTGGGCGGGGAGGACGCACGCCGCC